ATTCGACAGCAAAATCTTAATTTTCCAATGAAGGAAAATTATAGCTGAGAATGAAAAATCGTATTTCGCGAAAAAAAAAACATAGCAGGATTACTTTTTTTATATTGATTTTTGTTCAAAAATTAAAAAAGAAATTCACATACTTTTATTTCAGAAATGTTATCAATATGTTATCACAGTATATCAAAATCTCAACAAATTGGATGCAAATTCTATATCACTTCATCCACCTAACTATACCTTGACTACTATGTGCCGCACAGGTTTTCAAAAAGTATGGTGTTTAGACCCTTCCTTTAAAGACACGGTCCATTATATCTGGAAGGAAAACGTGCGACTCACAATTTTTTTTAATCGTTGATCTCTTAAGAGCATTCCTTTTTTTGGGGGGGGGGGGAGGGGATCCCCGCGTGAAGAAGGCCTCAGCTAGCTCTCCCTCCCTCCTCCCCCATCTCTCCCTCTCTCTCTTTCTCACACACACACTCTTACTATTTCCTCTTTCTCAGCTCCCCCTCTCTTCTTTCTTTAGCTTCTAGCCCTTCTGTTTCTGTATACTGTTAAAAATATATCTTCCCGTCCACCTAACTCCCTCAAATCTCCCTTATTATTCCCCTCTCTCTCCATAATACTTTCTTCCCAATGATACCCCTCCTTCCCCTCCATTTTCCCCTATTTCCCTTTCCCCTTTCTCTTTATTACCCCGCGTACTATACCCTTTTGCTTAAACTCTTATGAAATTAGGTGCCTGCACACACTTTCTCTGTCTCCTCCTCTTTCTTTCCCTTCCCCTCCTCTTTCCTGTTCTTTCACTTGTTTCCTTCTTCATCCTTGTCTATCCTATTCTTTTCCCTTTTGCCTCTCTGTCCTTGAATTAAACTCGATATTTCCCCCTTTTTTCATTCTTGAATACAGTTTGATTTTGCCTAAAAGGGGAACTAGAGCTTCACAAGTTCTGTTTCTTTTATAGGTTCCTCCGCTTTTTCTCAAATAAAGATGAAAATACTGTATTTTCTACAACTCTTTGATAATGATGCAATATATATGTTCACTAAATAAATATGTACATCATTTGGTAATTGCAACGTTATTATTGTACCGATTTTGATCAAGCACTGTTTTGTTTTGTTTCATGTTTTATTATGTATGTAATCTGAGAAAGTGGAAATATATTTGAATATTGAACTATTGCACCCCACTAGCCACCTCTACCTGTCTTTACACTTTGTCGTTTAATATTTCTGACCCTTCAGATATCGTTTGACAACCGAATAACTAGCGAAGCAGCAATACACTTTTAATTCATGACGGGGGTAGGGAGTGAGGGCTTATGTCAAATGGCTTAATTGGAAGTGGTTCGTCTCCAATTGCTATCTGGAGTACTGCCAACATTATGAATATTCTATCAGTGATTTTTTACAGAATTATTGTAAGATAAAACGTTCCCCCGCCAGCAATTTTAGATTAATCGGGGGATCCAACCCCAACCCTCATCGCCAACGGCAATGTATGTCCTAAAGTCCAAGTAGACGAGAAAGTTTAATTTCAGTCCGGCAAAGCAGAAATCAGCAAATAATCTAAATTAGAATTAGGCATCGCAATTACGTTTATTGTGAAAGTAGCATTATTTTCATAGGTAATCAACGTTGATTCCGTCATGTCGTGATAAAATCAAAATGGCAATTCGAGCCCCTGAGCGAAAAAAAAGGAGACAAACAAAAAGGAGGGGGAGGGGTAGAAGAATAAGAAGGAAAACAAACAAAAAATGAAAAAAGAAGTAAAGAAGGAGAAGTAGAAGGAATAGTACTTAGTTTGAAACATTATACCTGTAATATCGCCATCCCAATATTCATGAATCTGACTCTATAAGAAGAGTAACGGTGGTCAGTAATGGTTTAAGGCATAAAGCAACAAACAAATTGGGATAAAACTGGAAATATTCCTGGAAAAGGACAGGTTTTGCACACGCACACCTACACACACGCGCAAACAAAAAAACACACACACACATACAAACGTTGCTTTGACAATTGCTCCCGACTTTTTTGCGTCAAAGTTGTAGGGTTAGGGGTTTTAAGGTTACAATCAGGCTTTAGGTTAGGTTAGGAGTTTTGATATAGGGTAAGGTATAACGTTGGGTTTAGGGTTAAAGGAATAGTTGAGTTCTTGTTTCAGACCGTAAATGCCTTCAAAGTGCATGATTATTGCTCTTATTCTTATTTATGACATTTCTAGTGTGTCCTTTTAAGACCTAAAGTTGCTATGAAGGTAATTTTCGACACCAACATGTGTGAAATTTAGACAATACAATCATACTACTTTAGCTCCACTTTAACAAAAATACGGTGACCGTTAATGAATCAATTAATTAATAATTAAAAAAAACACGGGCCTGCCGGTTGAGAGTGCCAAAACGAAAAAGCCAACAAAAAGCCAACGTCGGCATTGGCTGGAATAAAACGATTTTTCAACAGCTGGTTCAAATTATCGAACAAATATTAGAAATTGTGATATTTATGGATATTTCAGCCGTCTCTAACCGATTTTGATTAAACAAAAATGATTTTGTCATTTAAATTGTATGTTCTTTCAAATTTGACACTCAGTTTTTCAAAATCTCACCAACAAATTGTTTAATGTAGCGCCCTCTGCAACAAAGCTCAATTATTCTTAACAATATTGGTCAGTGTTGGCAATTATCACGGAGCAAAATCTGTATTCTGACGAGCAAGCTGAAAAGGGAATCCGTTTCGGTTGGTGCTTTTGTAGGTTATCAAGTCATTGAATACAATAATAACATTCTTTACGAAAGAAAGAGAATCTATAAAGCTTTTGTGAATTGTGAAAAGTCACTTACCATGGAAAAGTATGAGGATAGCTAACATATAAAGGACACACAAATCCCGAGTAAATTATTGATAAGAGAAGTGGGGTTTTTGTCCACAAGCTATTAGACGGATGTCACAACTGGGCAAACTCAGTTGACTATAATCGGTGTCTATTTAAGACTCTCTGATCATCTCACAGGAGGATTTACACAATAAACAAAGAATTCAAATTGTGTAAAGTGTATCAAAGAAAATCATCTCCTTATCTGTATTCCTTTATTTCTTATAACAATAGAAATACATGTTTATCGTGTTAAAATCTGGAGATATAAACTAAATAACCCACTTCAGTGATGCAATCACCTACAAGATGTGAGATTAAAACGGTTGTTCATCTAGAATGAAGAAATCATAGCTGTAACTTTTGCTGAAACTCCAGTTGTTCTTTGCTAAAGCCCGACTGCAATGACCACCATAACGAAGGTGTTGCTTCGTGTTGCTTCATCTAGTACCACCTTCAACTCTCTTTAGTAGCTACTGGTATAGGGATCCACCCATTGTAGCATGAAACTTGGACAGCTAGAGGACCATCTAAAATTAAACGTTAACCCAAGCTATAAATATTCTATGGAATGATACCAATATATTCATTATCTACTTATATCTTATGGCAAGAACTATAATAATCATCAGTCAATACAATAAAATACATAACAGAAAGAAAGGCTTCTGTCATAATGAATTACATATATTGCATACAAATATCCTTTCAAAATTTGAAAGAGCCTGAATTACAGAGTTCATATCCTGAGAACATGTACTTTCATTTATCTTCATAATTGAACAAAATAATGTATAAAGAGTGACATTAATTTACTTTAGAGAAATGATTTGCAGTCTTCATTCTATATCTCTAAGGCCAAAAAAAAATAGATGTTGTATTGTCCTTTAATACCGACCGACCCAAAAGTCTTCGAAATCTACGGTCGGCTTTTAAAACAAGTTTTTTTTTATTATCGTTTTTAAGATTTTTTTTTAAAGTATTAAAAACTGAGAGTATCAGCCCAAAGAGGGAGTAAAAAAAAGTTTAAAAAAAAAAGATTTCCGACCGACCGACCGATTTTTGTTGGCACCATAAGGGCAATACAACATCTTTTTTAAGGCCTAATACAAAGGTTCACTTGTGACCTTGCCTCTTTCAATGACAAATGAACACGTCTAATTTATCATAAGGAAGAAGGAATACAAATATGGATTCAACTCACAATTTGACTTGGTTGACTAAATGCAGGGAATCGGGGCAGGCCACAATGTCGGTTCTGGTGATCTTGACACTCCATGGACTTGGACTTGCAACGCAAAATGATTCGCCGCTAAATATTTCTCACAAACTGGGCCCCCTATTTGGCCCCTTTGCCTTGGCGCCGGCTGGATCTGCCCCTGAGCCTAACTACCCAATGCATTCAACCCAATTCTTTAATCTACATATGCCTAACAATAAGAGTTTAGCATTGCGGGGGAACAGAAAAGGGAATCCGTGTCGGATGGTGATTTTGAAGGTTATCGAGTCATTGATTACAATAATACGAATCTTCATGCAAGAAAAGAGAAATTATAAAGCTTTTTCACCTTTTGTATAATTGTGAAAAAATTACTTACCATGGAAAAGTATGGGCATAGCTAACACAATGGCCCGAATTCACAAAGCAAGGTTTGAGCTCAGACCAAGGTTTGAGCACAAACCTCCTTTTGTTTCGCCAAACCCCCTTTTGGTCTTTACAAACCAGGTTTGTAAAAAACGCGTAAAACGCGTCATATGACGTACGAAAACCAAGGTTTGTCGACAAACCTCCTTTGTGAATTCGGGCCAACGTGTATTAAGCGAACTTATAAAGGACACAAAAATCCCGAGGAAATTTGGGAAATTTGTTAATGAATGGAGTGGTTTTTATTACACAAGCTATAATACGGACTGTGAGTTATTAGTAGAAGAAGAAGCAGAAGAAGGAGAAGAAGAAGAAGAAGAAGAAGAAGAAGAAGAAGAAGAAGAAGAAAAAGAGAAGGAGGAAAAGGGTTGTTTTTTTTTGGGGGGGGGGAGAAAAATGAAGAAGAAAAAAAGCAGACGAAAAATACAAATCTCGTTCTATTTCAAAAACTGGGACGCCCTCACTTGAGTGGAGCCGTACAGCTCTGATCTACCACTAGTCAGCTTACTGCTCTAGTTTCAAGCATCAGTAAGTACAAGCTACTGACAGTTTCAAGCAAACAATTAATAGTTCCCAGCTCTCCATACGCGTTGAACACACCGTGCGGATTAGTTGCGTTTTGCTTTTTGGATCTGGAGGAAGTGATCGTCAGAGTACGCTGTCCACTTACCAAGCTGAAGTGGTAGAATCATGTTTTGTGTTTTTCGTCTCGTGTTTACCCATCTTTTTCTTGGAGTCTTGCTGTTGGGATTCCAGACACATGGACAACTGACTTCTGTTACGAGTGAGTCTATACTTATCTAACTTTGTTTGCAATTATAATAATGGTTGAGTAATTATGAAGTATGTGCCTAGTACCCAGCCAGATAAACCTACTATAGTATAGAGCAATACGATATTAGTACTATAGTAGCACACTAGGAACCGAAAGAAATCCCTTTATTCTTTTTTGCAGATAAATACTGTTGTTGTCATCTATTTGACTGTAACGAGATATTCTTTCTTCATCAAATCATTTTCTCAATGACAATATTTGTGTAATTATTGTGCGCCGATACGTCCCGTATAACTACTTCACCACCTAAATTTACAACTTAAGTTTAACTAATTTCGCAAATGCAAACTTATCTTATGATATTCTTTTACTTGAACTTCTTCGTTAATACTCAACAGGATTAATAAGTTGAGGATGTTTTTTTCCAATACAAAGTATGAAACATATGCATACATGTAAAATACAAGCATATAATATGAGTAAAACAACACCATGGTAATAGCCAGTCCTCGTATAGAGCATATTAAGCAAATGCAGACATGGCGGAAGAGGAGTCACGGTGGATATATTGAGGGAAAAAAACAATGGTGGACTATCCCCTAAAAAAACCCAATCAATTATAATGACATACTTAATCGAGTGAAGAGGTATAACCAGCGTTCAGGAAGAGGGCGAGAAGAGAAGGTAAAAACGCAGGGAAATGTATTTTCCTGCGGTACAACTGCATTTTCAAAGTTAGGCAAAATTCTGACAAATCGAACAATGTGTATGAGGACCAGAATAAGGGTATTGAATTGTTACATCTACCCAGTACTTATGTATGGTAGTGAAACATGCACTTTAGCCTCTGATACTAAAAAGCGTTTGGAAAGTTGCGAAATGTGGTTTCTAAGAAGAATGATGAAAATCCCCTGGACTGACAAAGTTAGTAATGAGGAAGTTCTTACACGAGCTGGAGTGCAAAGGAAAATGATACGTGAGATGTTAATTAGGCAGTTGAAGTTCATGGGTCACATTGCACGTAAAGAAGGCCTAGAGAATCTTGCTTTGACAGGGAAATTGTGGGAAGAAGGAGTAGGGGAAGAAGGAGGATACTTTGGATGGACAGTCTGCAGAAATTGTTGGAAGAGAGAGGAGTGAAAGAACTGGGAGTGGTACTAATACAGAAGGCTAGGAGCCGAGGGTTGTGGAACAGCATGATCGCCAAAGTCAAACGATATGGCACTTAGAGAGAGAGACAACGTATAGCAGGAAAATGTTGTATATGCGGATCCGTTTTAATGATCCACGTAATAGGAGTGGCGAGACGTCACGATCCCGCGAGGCGGGATGGTTTGAATAACTTAGGCAGGTGAAAGTTATTGTATTGAGAGGGAAAGGGAAAATTTTAATACAGAACAATAGTTTGGTGTTTTTGTTTGTGGTATAGAGATTCGAATAAATCATTTTTATTGGGACGATTTGCCATTAGGTTTTTCCAGAGCATTTGCCTTATTTAGTTTATCTCTGGTTTTTTCAATCTAGGGAATCGGTCCGGGCGTGGGGCAAAAAGGCAAAGCCCCATGCAGGTTACGGATCAAAGCAGATCAAATTTAATATTTTGCAATGTTTAATACAACGTCATTATATACCTAGGTGTGAACGTTGACGATTGAGATTGAAATTATGCAATGTTAAGAATATTTACATTTGATATTTTTATTTTGAAAATCAAGAATGAGCTTAAAAACTGAAATTATTTTGATGTTCAAAATTATATAACAAGATTGTTCAAAAAGATACAATTCGAATAAAAGCTGGCTTGGTCGGTCTGGCAAGCTTTCCCATACAGTTTGATATTGATGAAGTCTGTGAGTCATTATCTGAGTAATGAAGGATGAGAATATACGGGCAATGCACTGCAGAAGGGTTTTGATTGTTTTTCATTAGTATGGAATTTCTCTACATGCGTGACATTATGATCGCTTGCCCGCTTTGGTTTTGAAGTCCATTTTTGTCAGATTCGTAGCAATTGTATTTTTTTGTTAAAGAATTTTTTTTTTCAATAGTCAGTTTGGGTAAAACACGACTTTCTGGAATCCTGCTACAAGTACCCGCATCCTAACTACCCCCAATTCTAATATCTTTTTTTTTCTTTCTTACTGGGTATAAAAAAAGACATGGATAGACATACTGAAGACAACAGGAAAGACACATGGCATAATCAAAAGGGTTGTTGTTGTTAATAATAATATTATCTGTAACCACTTATGGGAGCGTACTCTCTCTAAAAAAAACAGTGAATTTTCACTCTATTTTCACTTTCTTGGGAATGACATCAGTGATCACTTGTTTAGGAGTGAATATCGATTGATTTTAGAGTGCTCTTTATTAAGAAAAGAGTTAATGTTCACTCTATAGACCCCCCCCCCCCCTTTAACCCCAACTATAGTCCGGGGTTAAGCAAATTTTTGCCAGTGTGAAAAGAAAGTGTAATAAGCTTAACCCCGGACAATAGGGGGGAGGCTAACCCCCACCCCTTTAACCCCACCTATAGTCCGGGTTAAGCACATTTTTGCCAGTGTGAAAAGAAAGTGAAAAAAACTTAACCCCGGACTATAGGTGGAGCTTATACTCTTCCACAATACTGTTACCACCCATTTAATATTGCTCCCAATCCCTTTTTAATTATGTTTTTAAAAGGTTCGTTGTTTTAGTTTAGTATATATCAAATTTAAAACATCAAAGAAAGTAAAGCCCCTCTAAAATGTTGGGAACCCCAAAAATTTGATGGCAGAATTAACATAAGTCAATTTTTGCACTCTCGCAAACAATGCCTCCTGTTCATCTAAGCGTGAACACATACCACACAAAAATGGTACCAAATGATTTGGGATAAAACACTCTTTCATAAGACATATAACAGTTTAATGTTCATCGCTGATTTTTAAAATAATTAGCAATTTTCTAGGTGTAAACTTTTTTTTTACTCACACTGTATAGTCTCTGTCACGGTCCACGGACTTTAATAATACAATGAACAGTGGTGGAATGATAAAGGCTGCACAGAGATTCGGGATATGTAATATCATGTGTGCACAGAGTATGAATAATGCGTTTTCCTCAATTCTTTAATCCCATTTAGCTTCAAAAGTTTTGATATGCAATATGAAAGAGGATGGCATTGAAGACACATTTTTCAAAACAAATGTGTTTGAAGTCGAATATTGATGAAAGAATACAACATTTAGGTTTTCTGTGCACAACAGAAAACCCAAATTTTATATTCTTTTATCAATATTTGTCTTCAAACACATTTTAGAGGGGGGGGGGGGGAGGGGAATCTTTGTAGAAGTGTGTTTTAAATAACATCCTTTTTCATGTTATGGTACAATTTAAGTGAAATTTTGCCATCAAATTTTTGGCCAATTAGGGGCTCCTAAACACTTTAGAGGGCTTCAACGTAAAAAGAAACAATTATCGTAATGTGAACTGTTTGCTATTTCATCACTGAAACACCATGAGAAAATACACTAAATATTACATTTTAATTTGGACAATTCCATTATCAATATAATTTTAATTAGCGAACGCTGTCTGCTTTCCGCTGATTACCATACATGAATAATTTGTTCGTTGCTTAGTAACTGCATCAATTAGGACTCGGTGCATGTAACCGTGACAAAATGATGAAATTTATTATTTATTTGGTATATAAGAAAAACAGACAAACTACAGCTTTTCGTCTAGCTTAGTTCCTTAAGCTTCCGCTTATATTATCTGAATTCGGCTTTCTGTTCATTCTGGTGAATTACTCCGAAAATATTTCACTTTTCATTGGTACTTTTCTGTAGTCCCAATAATTTTTTAGTTTTCAAAGTTGTAAAACTTTTCGCTGAATGAATTAAATCACTGAGTATACCTAGATATTATTACAAATGTACAGGAGTTAATAATTGCATTATTTATCTTTATGGTGCTGGTAAGATCAGGGGCGGATCTAGGGTGGGGGTTCGTTTGTGAGTCAACCCCCCTCCTTTTGCTTGATTTTCTTGAGGGAAAAGAAAACAATTCAGATTTTGTCGATGTATGTATTAAGGTGCATATGGGAGGGGGGCTCACAAAATACGCCACAGAGCTGCCAATTTGTATTTGATTGATCGCAACTTCAAAAGTTCATAACTTTCTTATTTTTAATCAGAATTAACTTTAACTTTGACCGACCTGCTTCAAGTAAAACCAACTTAACATTAGCGGTAGAATTCCCCTTTAAGGCAGTCATATTACTATATTAGGGATCACTTTGTTTTGAGTGAAAATCCACGCTGTAAATAGTGGGATTCACTATCAACAGAGTAATTCAACCACTATACAGGGAAGATTCAGCGATTAGTATTAATACCTGATACAATTCCTGAAAAGTGGCTTTCAAATCCTCTGAATTAAGGGATATTATACGTTATGAAATCGTGTATACACGTATAAATGCAGTGAAACCTTTTTCTGTCGATGTTACCAAAAATACTTTGAAAGATAACGAGTCTAAAGAAATTGAAGGGTACGTGACTTGTTTTAAAGTTAAGTTGTTCTTCTTTTAAAAAAAATTGACAGATAACAAGTCTAAAGCAATATTAAAGGGTGATTTAAAAAAAAGAAGTGAAGTTGTTCTTCTACTAGTGCTCTTTTAAAAATGATGATTTGAATTCATATGAAAACTACATTGTGCTATAGTTGTTTCTTTGATGACCTAGACAATAAATCATGACATTGAGAAGATGTTCTGGAACTACAAGCTCGCAAGATGAGGAAGATGTGAGTTGGTACAGCGGTACCGTCTATGGTACACTCAGCAATCTGTACAAAAACTTCAGTTTGATATGAGTTATAACTTTTAAATTATTATCGATCTAAAGTTAAGATTTTACACCGCCACCGCGTAGATACAAGGAAGGAAAATAGGAACTGCAACAATTAACGAACCATTTCTTGTTTCGGATCTAGGTCGCATCAATACAAATTCAGTTTCAGTTTCAGTTTCAGGTTGTTTTTTCATATTTCACACATTTTAACATGTTGCAATGATTTCACAAAGTAATTGGTTTATATGTGGATTTTATTAAATGAGACAAAAAAACAACAAAAAGTGAGTACCTCATATCACCTTGCAAGAAATGTTAGTCGATCAACGGCTGGTGAATTGATCATTTCACCAGCCATCCAACTTAGTCGTTCAAGGGGAGGGGCGCGAAGGGAGAAAGGTAGGGGATATTCACAACAACAACAATAAAGTGTGCATTTTAACCCACAAAAAGGAATAGGTCCATTCTGTCATGAAGGAGCTTAGGGGAGTAAAATGTGGAGGGGAGAGAGAGAGAGAGAGAGAGAGAGAGAGAGAGGAGACAAAGAGTGAGAGTAACAATTAGACAGGGAGCTAGAGAACAAGAAAGCCATGAAGCCATGCCCCCTCTTGACTCCCTTCTTCTGGTATCACGTCTCAAATTGGATAAACGCGACCATCCTCGATTCGACTAGAGGCTTACTAATCGCTCGACTGGCGACGCTTGCTCCAGACTTTATATAGTCAAACATATAAGGTTGCATAGGGCTGGGTTTGTTATTGGGTTTAAAGTTACGTACAGCCTGTAATTACGGTTGGAATCAGCGTTAATTATTACGTCATATTTCCCCTGTCTATATTACATTGACATGGTCAAATACGCTATTGAAACAGATTGCAAGATCAATCCAGTGGATACAAAGCGTTGTAATATTTCACAAGTTTATTCTTATCGACACAAAAGTTCTTGTCTATATACTTATCTCTTCTTCTTCTTTTTTTTTTTTTTGCTCGTCATAATGTGTAGTACAAGGTTGATAATGATTTTGTCTCATTAACCACTGGTAGCCACATCAGGATTAATGTTGCTCTTCCTGTGTGCCCCGTGAGTATCACTACCCCAACATTCCCAGGTAACCATTCAATTCACCTGTGTCGAGAGAGACAAATGTGGGCAAAATACCTTATACAAGGACATGAAATTGTGGGCACCTAGACAGAATCGCATTTCTTGCTTATTAAAGAGTCGAGAGACTTTACCAATACACCACTGTGCTCTTTAACACAGATATACTTCATTTCTCATTTTACAGCGGATGAATTCGGTCTGATAACGACGCAACAACCGGAAGGGGATTTTTGGTGCACCGGAAGTGATGTTAGCTATGACCTGGATGATCTTTGTGACGGAACAGCAATTTGTCCTCAAGATGATGACGAATTTCTGTGTAGTAAGTTTTATTTTTATGTTTCAACTTTTATTGTCTTCAGTCAAATCCTTGCCAGATCCCCTGGGACACTGAACGTCCATGACCTACGTAATGTATACATAAACGTTTTAACGTCCCTAGGAGGTTTTGTGAATATCTTAGGATAGCCCGATCCCTAAGAAATATAAATGGTTATTGGGATATAAACGTTCTATAAAGATTTTAACGCCCCTGGACGCCTTGGTTACGTTGTGTGTTTGGTGGATCTTTTGGTGGATTAAACAATAATAACTATTGATATCTTAATTCCTGGACCCCAAGAAAGAACAGCTTTGTTATATTAACAAAGCTGAATGGGCTATCCAGCCATTCACTATATTATTGAATTTTACTATGTACATGCATTTTCTTTGTATTGTTTTTAATATTGTGATGGAAAATAAATACCAATACCAATACCAAAAAATCAAGGTAGATACATACTTTGTTGGTGTAGCGTGGATTCAATTGAGCGAGTGCTTATTAGAGATGATATTACATGGACTATTTTTCATCCTGTACCTTGAACTCACAGCTTTATAATTTTATTCAAAGAATTCTGAACTGGGTAAATTAATAATATATTTTGCCACATTTAAAAGGTTATTATATTAAACACACTCTGCGACCAAATAGGAAAGTGAATGGTGAGAACACTTTGACTTTCGACGACTTGCGGCCTTGGCGCTACAGTTGCTACAGTTCAATAAGCGCATGGCGACTTGTCATGTCTGTTGCACACGAAGCGTCATTTGTTGACGCAATCGTTCGTCATTCCCTGACGTATGGTAGCGTCAGAGACTTGTGGTTTGACGCACAATGGGAGAGTGGCATTGAGCACAAAGTAAATGTAAAATGATTAGTGCAAGTATGGTATTGAAATAATGGCTCTTCGACTAATTGCCTTCTGAAACTTGATTAGAACAGGTAATAACGCAATGAAAGCTACGCCTTGTGTTCAGCAGGCATATTTAATTGTTTACGTTCATATACACTTCCGTACACTCTAACAACTGAAATGCTAGATACTTTACGTTTTCTACCGCCGCACTGAATTCCTATTATACATGCAGATTTGAACTAAAAGCAAGAACATTAGGGTGAAGGAAATAAAGTCAATGAGGCGTGTTGAGAACTTTGATAAAATCAGAAGTTTCTCACAATATGACGATGTTATCTAAGGATTTTGAATTACTTAGATGACCCATTTTCTACATAAATCAAAAAAATGGTTCCATCATGCATCTGAAAATGATATCACTGTCATTGAATTTGTTAATGGATACCAGAGAGAACTCTTAAATTGAGTCTAAAATTAAATTCTGAAAGGAAGCATACATTTTCCAGATAATGGGGGGGGGGGGGATAAAGAATCTTTTCAAAAATGTTTTGAAATCGAACAATAATGGCAATTTGATGGTTTGGAAGCTTCTACCCATATAATACATCACAATTAAGGCTTCATTCTCCTTTCCCCTAAAGCAGAGAAAAGGAACTTTATACAAAAATATCTTCACCAACTTAAAATAGGACTTTTTAGTTGCTGTTGATCCGGATCGATCAATCGCAGACCTATACACACATCAAAAGGGGCGCCATTTCTTCAGTACACAGTTGCAATTGATATCAAGATGCGATCGATTTGAATCAATCGCAATGGAATGCTTTTAAAACGATGCACTGGTAACGGAGTGGCATTTAAACACAAAAGAGAAATGGGACAAAAAAGATATGCCAAAAACTAGCTGGGAATATTGCTGAAAAGCATGTACTCGTGAATGAGATTACGCGTCATGTACGTCGATTGGGTGCTTCTATATAATATTTTCTCCTTTTCTTATACATTACTTCGCTTTTAGAAGGTCTACACATTTTATGCGAATTGTTTGAAGCATATTAAGAATATTGACAGAATGGAGGTAAAAAAAAATTAAATTGCACGTTTGTGCATTTGTGTGTGCAGGTGAAGGTAAAGTAATATTATTGGCTGCAAATCGTTTGTGTCAATAATTTAATATTTCTCTTAATAGATTCAAATCATTTTGGATATTTGGTTTATTTTATAGCTGCATCTTTCAATTTCATTTTCAGAGTTATAAGGTGAAACATAAATTAGTTGTAAAATAAGCCGTCCAAAACAGACCTTCCTATGTAAACAATCTCACGAATTTAGTTCAGGTTTATCATCTCGGTTTCAATTATAGAAAACATCGCATTTTTATTTGATGCCAGTTTTGCATCAATCGTTTTTTTAAATTAAAGAACCGATCTGGAAATTGTAGGTACCCCTGGGCAAAAGAATTGCAGTAATATTATTGTTCTATCCAAAATGCTGGATTGTGATTGCCTCTAAAGTGTTGGGAGCCCCGGCACCCAATCTCGTTTGATAACCTTTCCTTCTCACAGTGTTTACAAACTAGTTTGACCTGCATTTCAGCGGTTATACTCTTCTAAAATCGTTCAATGAAATCGACCAGACATTGGACACTGATTGCAAAAGAAAATCAATAAAGTTGTTCATAAGTTTGTGTTTAAAAAGGCCATATGCTTTTTCAAGAAGATATGTTTGTTGAAGTAATCGAGAAGGTTGCTATTTTTTGTCGCAAACAAATAACGATTCACAACTTTCAATCACCTACTGGTGAAATAATTGTGTTCATATACGGAACTACATCTGTCTCGCTTGAAAAAGTTTTCTCTTTATTTTTAGAACTAAAATTGTCGCATCACACTTTGTTGAAATTCTTCGTAAATTTGTTTCTTCTTCAGACATCACTCGGCACTTGAATTTTTCTTTTGAGCTCGATGTTTGTGAAGTAGTTTTTTTATCTCTATTTTGAAGATTGAAGGTAAATCGAATCAGAGAAAATGAAAAGTCACACGATCTCGAAGAGTTTAAAGAAATAAAACACGCCGTAATGGCATATTTCGTGTGATCTGTTTATTCCATGATATTGCACTCAACTGTTTAAGTTCCGAGCAAGACATTGATCTGTATCACATAAAAGTTTTCAAGTCAAAACTTCATTTTTCTTTACCATGTTAAATCGGGCTCAATACAAGTCCATGAACGTTTTGTTCTCTTTATTTGTTTTACGAGTTTCATGCCAAAAAGATTCTATCCGAGTCCTTACCCCGTGAAAGTCTCATTCTAAATGGCTTTCGAACAATATGTCTTTCAAATCGTTATAAACATGGAAACGGAAATTGTTACACGCGTAGCCAGGGGGGGCGGTGGGGGCGGTCGCCCCCCCCCCCCCAAAACGCCGGCCAAAAAAAAAAAGAGAGAAAAAAAAAAAAAAGGAAGAGGACGTAGGAAGAAAAAGGATTAAGAGTCGAGAATGGTACAACGAATCGTCTTCTTTCTCTAATAATTTAATGAAACGTCTAAGCTTCCGCGCTTCGCGCGGGAGGGGAGGGGGGTGGGAACTGAATTCAGATAAGGATTAAGAGTCGAGAACGGTACAACAAATCGTCTTCTTTCTCTAATATTTTATGAAACGTCAAAGCTTCCGCGGGAGGGGAGGGGGGGGGGGAACTGAATTCAGACAAGGATTAAGAGTTGATCGAGAATGGTACAACGAATCTTCTTCTTTCTTTAATAATCTAATAAAACTTGAGAGCTTCTGCGCTACAGCTTCCGCGGAGGAAGGGGAACTTGATACAAAAAAAGGATTAAGAGTCAAGGACGGTACAACGAATCGTCTTCTTTCTCTAATGAAACGTCAAAAGAAACTGAATTTAGATAAGGATTAAGAGTCGAGAATGGTACAACGAATCGTCTTCTTTCTTTAATAATCTAATAAAACTTTAGAGCAGGGGAACTTGATTCAAACAAAGATTAAGAGTCGAGGACGGTACAGCGAATCGTCTTCTTTCTCTAATGAAACGTCAACAGAAACTGAATTGAGATAAGGATTAATAGTCGAGAACGGTCCAACGAATCGTCTTCTTTCTCTTATAATTTGACGAAACCTCAAAGCTTTCGCGCTTCGCGCGGGAGGGGGGGGGGGAAACTCCCCCCTCCCTGCACCCTCCCCCCTAGGGAGCGCGCTATGCGCGCTCTGTAAGTGATTCGCACGCTCACTACCGCCCCCCCCTAAAATGAAATCCTGGCTACGCGCTTGTACACGAACCTTGTCAAGAGAAAAATGATGACCTTTACTTTAGAGAAATTACGAGGGCTTCAGTTACTGTCTTTCGATTCCAAAGTGACTGCTTCAGGAATTGCGGGTAAAAATGGGCCTCGTGACGCGTCGAAGAGTGATTTCTTGTCAATCATCCAAAACGCATTTAGGTCAGTAAATGAAAAGCCTATAGTTATTCAGTTGAAGTAAAATAAAGAGGACAATGCAACCATATCATGACTTTTTTCTTCGATGAAAATAATATATAAGCCTCCAACAGTGAACATCGATCACTTTACGTTTTTTCCACGATTCTTGTTCTTAGAGAGAGAGAGAGAGAGAGAGAGGAGACAATAATTAATTGGCAACAATAGTCAAGTATGACTTACTGCCATCAAATTATAACGAAAGAAGAAAGAAGCTCAAGAAGAACCTGTAATAAATATATCGAACTATGCAGTGCAATCACTAACATACATACAAATTGCTTTTGATGCCTTTCATATAGCGCTAAATCAAATCAAATATTGCTTAATGCGCTTTACATGACAAATTATTGCTAATGACAAATAATAAAATACGGGAAAGAAATACAAAAGGACATTCAGTTATTCGATTTCAATTTCAATTTTAAGTTATTCATGTTTCCAACAAAACATTACGAATCAATTATAAGCATTTAAAACAATTAACTAATCCGTAACTACAAAAGGAACTACAAAATAGGGGAAAGAAAAAGGGGGTGCCAGCAGAGATGAGAAAGGGACAAGACAATGCTTTACACGACAGAGATAGAAGAACACGGTCATAATACAAAGAGTAGACAATGACACAAAGAAGTGAAAGATCGGGGGTACAGAAAATTATACAAAATGACGAGCTGCATGTTGGGTTGAGAAGAAGATAAGGAAAGAGAAATGCGGGTTAGAAAGGAAATAAGCATGAGAAGGCACAATATAATATATCAAATTACATTATTGAAGAGAACGTTTTTAAAGTTCTTTTTAAAAGAGTTAATCGAGGTGGAAAAATGGAGGGTGTTCCGTATTTTGGAACCGTATTGAGAAAAAGTACACTCATCCATTTCGAGTTGAGACGTGGAAATCGGTGGAGTGTAGGATCATATGAAGAGCTTAGTTGTATAATTTGGTTTACATTTCCTTCTGCATTTATTTTATAGAATGCTGGTGAAACGTTAAATACAATACGCTTTTTCACGGGTAACCAACGCAATTGTTAGAGCAAGGGAGATGAAGAGTCGTGCCTTTCTCTGTCTCAAGCAACTCAGGCAACACGATTTTGGAGTCCCTCAAGCCTTTAAATATCGGTCACTTCGTCCCTATTTTCACGAAGTGACGGTAATGAATGAAATCTTTTTCAAGACTAGGGAAATTGCAAAATCCATCCGACTAAGGATCATACAACATGTTGGCATGCACTGGAAGTGCTGTATTCCTAATTCAGAAAATGAATCACAACCCTGTAATATTTTTCGGAATTACGAAAAACCTTCGGAATAAAGAGCCCTATTTCACTTTCGGAATTACAAACCTTCTGAATAACGCAACAAATGTTCGTTATGTTATTATCGTGATCTGACATTAATTACTGCAGCGATATTCACTACAAGAGGCTTGATTTCAACAAACATAACGGTTCTTGCTTGTTTTTTAAGGTCAAGTTTCGGGGATAAAGTTATAGTTATAGGTATAGTTTTAGGCCCAGTGTTATAAGGAATTTACTCTCATCAAAAATAGGGGTTACAAATCTTCTCTATGTTCCACTCATATTAGGTATCACTTCGTTTGGGAGTTGCATCCACTCCAAAATATCTTGAAATCAACTCTAAAGTAGTTGGTTGAATTATTCTTTCGAGAGTGGATTCAATAATAATAACGATAATAATAATAAAACAATAATATTAATAACAACATTTTTCTAAGTTTATATAGCGCTTAATACATGGACGAAGTTTCTAAACGCTTTACAGACATATTATTACCTCTGCCATTGTGTTCGGGCTTGCCTGCACACAGTGTATGCATATTTTCTAATCCTAGGGGAGTTTTCCAGCCGGGCGCCATTTTACAGATCCGTATAATGATAAGCAAACTGAAATAACTGTCGCATTAGGCAATCCACTCTTTTAGGTATTTGGGGGTGACAATTCACGCTCCAAGGAGCTTGGAGCGTGAATTACTACCGAACGAAGCGATCCTCGCTTGGAGCGTGAATTTCCACCACCAAACGAAGCGATCCTTGATATCACTCCTAAGCAGACAGGATTGCCATTCTTCTGCAATCGCGTGTGCAAGATTGACCAGCTAGCTACAGTCCCCAGAGCATGGTGTTCTACTATTTATTTACATTTTAATTTCACCTAACATTTTTTTGTTTGATGCCGCCATCCTAGCCAAGCATCGCTCATGATTTCGGTCTCCCGCACTTTTTCCACGGATATAGTTCGGATAATAATTAATACTTTAAATTTATAATAATATGTGATAAAAATATTAAATTTCGTTATGATATGTTTATATGTAAATATGAGTTTGACATGAAGATATTATTGTTTGTATATTTTTTTTAAATCATACCTCAAGTTTTTATGTTCTTTGTTATTGAGTCATTATATGGACCAGGACCAATGGAGAAATAAAATAAAAAGCATGAACCAACTCAATAAGTCAAAATTAGTCAAGTGATGAAGACTTCGATATTTTTTATCTCATTTCTTTAAATCAGGTGATAAAGACTTCAAAAGTTGCAAAACACCCGAACAGATGCGCTGCTTCAACACAACAGGAACATGTGTTCAGTTGACATCCATATGTGACGGAAAACCAGACTGTGCTGATCAAAGCGACGAGATATATTGCGGTAGGTCATAAGCTTGATTAAATAAATCTTATTTCAAAAGAAACTTTATCAAGAGTTGAACAAACGAATGAATCACTGAAAATTAATAGATAAGTGAATGAATGGATTTATTAATTAACAGAGATAAAAAAAAGTATTAAAAAATGGTGAATTAATTGATAAATTGATAGATTTATGAGATGAAACGGTAAGTTAGAAAACAAAATTACTTAGAAAAGTGAATCGACAAGTAAATTTTTAAATTAATAAATGATTGACTGAATAAACGAAAAATTTAAGAAGAAAAGAACATAGCCAACGAAATTAATAAGTTAGTGATTGAATGAATAAATGGTTAAACGAATAACAAAAGAAGAAAATACCTGTAACATAAATGAACATAAATGAATAAATCATTAACATATTAATGTTCTCTTCATTTCGCTACAGAGGCAGTAAATTGTAGTAGTACATGCTCGTTTTGCTCGAAGGTTGGAGCGTCATGTGACATGAACGGACTAATCAACAACCTGGGATCTTTGACGCTCCCGTCAACAATACGATACTTGTAAGTAAAGACTACCGTGTTTCTTAAATACGTGCAGAGTACATCTATTGTGTATTTGATCACAACACGTTCTTGACATAATGTTTCACGTCCTTATTACGTCGTTATTACGTCTTTACTACGCTGAAACACGATGTGTCCGAAATCTACATCGTGCTGAAAAAATTATTTCTTAGGATTAGTGGAAATCAACTATTTCAGGAGTGATAGTCGGGATCACTTCGTATTGAAGTTGAATTCACTCAAAATTATCTTGGAAGCTACTTTGAAGAAATCGTTTGGATCAAATTTTCGAGAGTGGATTCGGATATTTTAAGCGTGAGGTTTTCTCCACCTCTCTCTAAAAAAACGACATCTCTTATACTTTTAATATTACTCCTGAAATAGTCAAACTCCAATCCTTTACACTCAGAGAGGTGAAATTATGTGCTGAATATTAATGTAGCTCCTACCATGTTTGACATCGTGACAATTCGTGGAAGGCATTATATTTGAGAGCACATGTTATTACTCATCTTGTTATATACTACTTTGTAGAGTTTAAACTTTCTTATTCTTTACTCAGCATACGTCATATATTTGCCCATAGATTTAACAGATAGGATCAGAACGTATAGAGACGAGTAATACCAATAAATGCCTTTTCGTTGGAAAAACGTGAGACTTGTAGACTACAATATTTTATTGTCCGCCAAGTGGGCGAGTAGGACAGAATCTACAAATGAGAAAATAGATTTGACTTTAACGTTCGCGTGCTTTATCATTAAAATTACATCTTCCAAAATCGTTAACCTTTTAGCAAAACACGTCGACCAGATAGAATTACAAATTTCCGCTTCATGTTCGTGTTGATCACAAATTGACAGGTAAACTAATTTAAATGGAGGAAAAGTCAATATGATCATTACGATTACTCATTTTATCAGGTAATGATCATTAGAGCTTTAGAAAGTCTGTGTAATCATGCTTTTCACAATTATTATCTCTTCACCCAATCTCGACGATCCAATTTCCCTTAATAGAGAAGAATTGATAGACGTATTTGTGTAAACACATTAAAATGTTATAATTATCGTTGGGAAGGTCCAATTTAAGCCGAAATATCTTTCTCGATGTTAAAGTTTTCTAATGTCATGTGGATGTAATGCAAATATTGTACTACAAACCATTTAATTAGAGTTTAAAAAGACACAATTACTAAATAAATATACATGGTTATAAGTTATAAATCTAGCTCCTATGATACCCTAACTCTGACTCTTAGCAAGGACTAAACCTTGTCCCTAACCCCTATCCTAGACCTCACCATTACACATAGCCTTACCCTAACTCTAACCTAAAAGGGATCCGGTAACTTCGTCTTATATCCTTTTAAAAGAATCCTTGATTTAGCTCATGCTGTAGTGATAATTATAAACATTTAGGTCAGTCAGGAACCCCATGACTTTTACAAGCCGATCGCCTGTCTGATTATCAAGATATTTATGATTGAAAATCGAAATCAAATTTTGCGTTTGCCAAACGGTTTTCATAACACTACAGTCAACTGGGGAAAACGAGTATGGTAAAACCGTTCACTCAAAGGTTTTAACTTTTTGAGGCACTTCTTGATCACATTGAAGCGATTTTTTAGGGCTTCAGTATAACACAATTTCACAGACATTGATAACACGTAGGGCCGTTCATCTCAGATTTAACATTGTTAAACAATTCCTTTAACGCGTATACATTGTCCTGATGCATATAATTAATTAATATTCTGCAGTCTAGGCTTCCATTTTAGTCACAGCAAATCGCAGTCACAAGAAGAATGAAACAAGACTATGTCCCTAGGGAAGCCCTCTTATTACCTCGAGAGATCCGTCTATTATACTACCTATTAAAAAACCCCGTTTATTTACAGGGTAGTTCATGAGGGTGAGATGATAGCACTCAATAAATATCGCTTTCACTATTGACCTTGGATATGCATTAACTCCTGCGGGCGGATCTATTTTGGGTGAAATGAATGGAAGAAGGCAGATTTTGTAATTTACGTGAAATAAATATGCTTCACGACTTTTACCAGATTTCTGTTTTTATATTTTATTTTACTGAATTGAATTAAATTGGTTTATCCAAAAAAAAAATGACATGCAGCTCAAGGCTGGTAATTGTCTGTTTTATAGAGTAATTGACATTTGCATTATAATAAAAACATAAAAAACACAAGCAACATAACAAAATAACAGTGGTAACATCTCATAGCAATATTTATAAGATTTAGAAAGATGTATCAAAGATGTGGATAAGAAGTTATGAAAATAGTTTAGGCAATGTCATCAAATATTCAAGGGTAAATTCAATTCAGCATGTATAGGAATATTAGGCTTATTGAACAAAGATATCACTTTAGACAAACAATTTTAGTTGAGTAAAGCCCGCGGGAGTTAATGCATATCTAAAGTGTACCGGTGTGTTGGCCCAGTCAGTAGACCGTCCGCCTCACAACCGGGAGGTCGTGGGTTTGAACCCCGGTCGCGTCAAACCAAAAGACGTTAAAAGACGGGAGTTGCTGCTACCTTGTTTGGCGTTCAACAATAAGGAATAGAGCAACGTCGATCTGGAGCTGCTCAGTGGCAGCCGGGCTCACGATCAATTGCGCAAAAAGAATTTACATTTTCGGTTTAACTTAATGCAAATTTGGAGTGGACTTTAAAATATTATTATTATTATTATCATCAATATTATAATTACACAGAATGATAACAAATAAATGTGGAGAACCATCGACAATGGGTAATGAAAGAAATGAAATCCAATCGCAAAACAAAACCAAAGCAGTTTCAAAAAGTCAACTCCCCTCCCATTAATGCAGTTTTTTGCCCCGTCTCTCAGATAGTACTTCTAGATTACCCAATTTAAATCCTTTTTTTTTTTTAAAGTATAGGGGATTGCTAAAAACCTTTATGAAAATGTCCCCTCTTTTCTAGTACAGGATGGCCCGTAAGCAATACAATTTTCACGAACGAACAGTTTGCCGTTAATTAATCACCCATAACATTATCTATACATCATTGACAGTTTGGATTTACGTCGTATGTATCGTACACATCATTCACCCACTTCTTTCATCTGTAAGCCTCATTGTTTAAAGGTTATATAAGCTGGACGTTGAATTTTATTCGATAAAAAAAAATTCCTTTAAAATCTGTTCAAAATGATGAATATAACAAATTCTTATATTTTTTATGATTTTCTTATGATTTGCACTTGTTTGCAGGAAACTCACGAACTTCTCCGACCTACAGTATGGATTGCCAATCACTCAAGCCGAGTATCCTCTTTTGACAAGACTGTAAGTATATATATGAACGCCTTAATTACTCGCCGTTTTATACCTAGATTTCGAGTTTTACTTCGAGATTTTGAGTTTTATGATTGATTTGACATACTGATTATTTGAATTACACAGAGCTTCCCTATACCGATAGAACATTAAACATAATATATTCCCTATGAATCATACATCATTATGCAAGGAAAGCACTTTTAATTTAGCGAGAGAATAGGGCAGAAAAAACACCGTTATTAAATCAAAAACTAACCACAGTTAATTAAGAATGATAGTTACGTCACTTTTTATTGTTTAGAAATTTCTTGTCATACAAATTGTCTCTTAATTAACTGTGCTACAAACCTGGGGTGTTTTACAAAACTTGTCATCAGTGACAAATGACAGTTTTTGTTATAAGCTACTGAAATCCTTGCTTCTGATTGGTTATCAGCAGATTTGTCACTGATTTTAGCCATATTTTAGCCATATTTTAGCCATATTTCATTGGAAAAAAGGCTTAGTGAAACGGGTCCCTGTATAGTGTATTTACTTTGATGTACTATTTCAACAGGTATAAAACACGTTAGAGCGGCATATAACATACCCACTTTGTAATGACTCTGAGCGTTTTAATTAAATCTCTGGATTGTAATCAATTATACCAGCATCTTTATCATCATTATTTCCCATGTAGCTTGGGTCCTTAGGTGTTATTAACCTATTTATTCTTTCGATGAATAGTCCTCAATGAACGGAAATTAATTACACCGTAGAGTGCCGACAGACGAGATCGAGGTTGGTCTAAGGGGTTAAAAAGATTTTTTTTAAAATCAATAATGGAAGACACTATGTAGATTTTAATGCCGTTAAGTGCATGGTCTCTGACAATAACAGCGCATTTTCTCCGTGTAATATAATGCCCCGTTTAATTAAGTTATTAAAAAAAATTATCTTGATACAAAGTCAGAACTGCGATAAAGGCCTTTGTTTTAAGGATGGAAAATTGATGTTAAAAAATGCATGTCTTGTGCGCTAAAGGAGTGCCTCATTAATTACGCTAAAATAGCAAAACAACGAACCGTCGTGTAAGCTGTCCTTCGCTTATTTTTCCTCGTTTCAAATTTCTGATACAATCATAAATAAATCCATCTGATGATGCACAGTACAATAGCCTTTCTGATATATCTTTCGTATGGCAATATTCTTTAAAAAAGACAACAAGAAAGAAGAGATGATGCACATGGATAATGCCTGACATATAGTTTTGTAGAAGATCACTTTATTCAATATAAAACCCATGCAAAGGAACACAGTGCATATCAAAAGTATTTTCACCTATAGTACAGCGGATAAGCTCCCAATATAATGAAAATTGTGCACTTTTTGAGAAAAGCATGAAACTTCTAGCATATTTGGTTTAGACCATAAGATTTATTTTCAGATGTGGAGGGAAGTCAGATTTGACCTCGGATGACCCTGAGAGGTCAAATCCAAAATGGCCGCTATTCCTCATGGTCTAATGTACAAACACACTTAACTTTTGAACCAAATAGTCCAGAAAAACGTTTAAGGTGTCATTTCCAACTAACTTGGGGATGCCAATTCATTTGGTAATACTTTTGAGATCGCTTGAACTTAGGGTTTTGCATTTAGGTCAAGGTCATGGTCAAAATTGACTAAAAAATAGCAAGTTTTGAATGGTTACAAAAAGTTTTTCCACGTCCATGTCCACATCCACGCAAATCTAAAAGTCCCTTTTGAGGAGAAGAGGAAGACCAAAATATCGTGGAATGATGGTAACATGGGCAGATCTACGGGGGGGGGGGGGGAAGGGGGTTTAACCCCCTCCTCCCCCCGGCCCCCTTGGGCTGCCAAGTGAAAATGTGATATTAAAGCGGGGGGGGGGGAGAGGGGGATGCTGGAGAGGAGGACTACTAATCTATTTTATTTTTTTCAGGGGGCGGGGGGAATCGAAGCGCCGTTTTAGCATGACTTTCTTTTTAACACTTACTTTCACCTATCTCAGATAACCCTATTTTTTTTGTTGCTGCTTTATATGTAGTTGATAATGCATGATTAAAATAAAGAGAGAGAGAGAACCACCATCATTTTGCAATGGTTTAGGGTTCGTGTAATGTACATTTGAAACCATTTCTTAGCGTCTCAACCCTAAAAAAATAGCAAAACTACTTTTGAGGAAAAGCATTATACTGAATTAAATAAAGAATAATAGCTTTATATTGGATCATACTTATACTGATACGGGCTTAAGACAATGTGGTATTTGTATAGAGGTATTCCAAAATGACATTCTGATAATCAACATTTGTTCTGGTATCATAATGTATATACGCATAATACAACTGATCTTTATGATTTCTTAACGTGACATAGCTTCTTCTCCCTCTGCAAACAAAACAGAAAACAAGGTTATTTAATAAAAGGACCATGCGACAAATAATCATTGTGATTCAAATTAATGCAAGGATTTTTTTTTGAATAAGCAATGCTTTTCACCAGAATCTTCTTTGTAAAAACGACTTTTATAAATCTCAGCCATGCAATTCTGCCACTGTGCTGTAAGATCACTTTGAGATTAGGAGAAGTGTATTATGTAATGGGTATTTTAAATTGAATGGAACGTCTCAACTCAGTAAGCATGGCTGAGATTTGTAAAAGTTGTTTTTACAAAGAAGATTCGGGTGAATAGCAATGCTTATTCAAACAAATATTCGCATCAATATGAATCACAATCATTATTTGTCGCTTAATCCCTTTTATTGACCTTGTTTTCTTTTTCGTTTGCAAGGGGAGAAGAAGATATGTCACGTTAAAGACATCATAAAGATCAGTGTTGTATACGTATATATTATATACACAGGCCAGTAACAGCTATGTAGCTTGTAAATTTGTAAGAGGGAAAATGCTGATTGAAATGATAATGAAGAAATAGCAAATAATTGAGGAGTATCATAGGTACCAATTCAATGGATATTTGTATAAAACAGAGCCCCCGTCAGTAATAAAAGAGCCCCCGTGAGAAGGCTCAGGGGGGCTCTTTTTTTTTGGGGGGGGGGGGAGAGCCCCCGTGGACAAACAATTAATTTGAGCCCTGGCAGCTAGGCAGTATACGGCAAAAATCTCAATTCAAGACAGGAAAACTGCTCAGTAATACTGGTAAGATGTTTTTTAAGTTACTTTGTGTTTTATTTGGTTCTAAGTAATTTAAAGTATCCCTACAGAGTTTGAGGAACAGGCCATAAAGCAAAATAACGGTTCTGCTAACACTAGACAACATCAGCATGACCAGCAACCTGGAGTGCAGTTAGCATTCTTGAGGATGAGAACTTCTGACAGTACTGAAAGAGATGGGGAATCCATTTCTAGAACAAAGTCAAGACCTACTAGTCATTGGCATAAGCGACATATCATGGACACCCAATTGGCTGAAACGGGGAGAAGGATTGGGACCCTAGGTGAGGAGCAGTACACAAAGTGTGTGACAGAAAGGCTAGAGCAGTGTACGACACCTGTCACACAAACACTTCATACGAACAAGTTGCCATTTTCCAGTCGGCAGCCGGCGAAGGTTATGTTAAAACAGAAGGCACAGCTTGCAGCACCTAATAGTGACTGTACGTGGTCTCTTTTTCAGGATGTACATCTCGTGTCAGACAAGGGATGGAGATATCTTCTCTCATGAAAACCAGGCAGCCCCGCCAGCTTTGCATGTTAACTGGAGGAAAATGCGATTTGGAGTTCAAGCAGATCTACTTCGCTGCCTGGAATCAAATCTGCTCGAAAACAATAGTGCACCTGTGGCCCAAGCAATAATTATTGATGGTGAAGCTGTGGTTCAAATGCTCAATCCTGGAACATCAAGAACACTTCAAGAGTATGGAGAAAGAGTGTTTGTCCCATACATCTTTGCTCAACTCGAGAAAAGCATCCGCATCGACCTTGACTAGGGTGTATACTTACCTGCTAGCCTGAAAGCCTTAATAAGGCAGGAAAGGGGAAAGGGCACCGGAAAAAGGGTGGCTCCTTCTACTTTGCTGCCAAAAAGCTTGAAGGACTTCCTTCGAGTCAATGAGAACAAAACCGAATTGTTTGATTTCATGTCATGCGAAGTCGTTCATCTTCCTCTACCACAGGGCAAGGAACTGTATAATATGCAACAGATGGAAGTGGAGTACTCTGCTCTCCTGCTGAGTCACACTTAGCAGGCCTTGCCCCATGGGTGTAAAAGGGTAACCATAAGTACTGTTGGTACTGATGCGGTTGAACTGGCCGTGGCTTCATTCAGCAAGACAGCTCCTGATGCTGGATCGCTTTTGGTGTCAGATCAAGCTTTCGGTATAGCTTTTCACAAAAGCATGATGGTCGCCACCATGAGTCCGACACGATGTATGCCTCTCCCAACCTTTCATGCGTTCACCGGGTGTCACACTGTTTCTGCATTCAGAGGAAAAACTTAGAAGTCTTTCCCAGAGGTGAATGATTCCTTCAGTGAACTCCTGTACATGTCTAGGGCGGTCAGTGAAGGATCAATGTTACTGCCAGAGCGATTTGTGGTGCTGATACGACCGAACCAGTGAGAGCATACCTAGTGAATGATGCCAGGAAACAGCTCTTCGCACAGAAAAACCTGGAGAACATTCATCCAACCCAGGCAGCACTCAAGCAGCACTTCAAGCGCACTTGCTACCAGGCCAACTGTTGGAACCAGATATTGGCCAAGAATCAAGAGATGCCAGAGCCATCTGACTTAGGCTGGACAAACGAAACTGGGTGGCAGCCTCTTTGGACCACTCTCCCGGAAGCATCAAAATTGCGCCATGAGTAATCCACTGTCGCTGCAAGAAAGGATGCACTGAATATTGTGCTCTTGTTCTGTAGACTGTTAGATTTTGATCGTTACCATTAGGATATTCATAAGTTGTGGACAGTGCTAAATACAGTCATGTGGATATCTATAGCTGTGGTAATGAACAGGTTTTAGGTCGTATTTGGAATAGCTTTTTTGCAAATTTTCGTGCTAAAACTGTAGCAGACACATTTGGTTAGCAAGAAAACAAGGCGTCCACCTTGTGCGTTCACAATGAATGTGCATTGTTACAAAATTCATTTTCGTCCAGTAAGCAGCGTAAGGTTAATCCACTTTCGTGTGCTTACGGTTAGCAGTGCTATGAAGTAGAAACTCATACGTAAGTGACAGGACCAGCCGATAAGCAGCTATATACAAGTTTGCCCTGGATAATCAAAGTGGTGGTACACGGGTCATTTTATTAATTTATAAAATAATGGCCCCTTAAGTGTCAAAATAGAGGCACAGTTTATTTAAAAAAAAAAGAAAACATCACTTTTTTTGAGCTAATATGACCTTGAACTTGTCCTTATTGCAAATCCCTGAGTTTTGGCGATCTCTTAGTATTACGTAATGAATTGGCATCCCCAAGTTAGTTGGAAATAACACCTTAAACTTTTTTCTAGACTATTTGGTTCAAGTTCACGTTTGTACATTAGACCATGCGGACTGGCTGCCATTTTGGATTTGACCTCTCAGGGTCATCAGAGGTCACATCAAACTGTGAAATAAACTAACTGAAAAGGATTAAGGTGGAGGACTCGGCAGGGGAACCATTCCTTAATAAATTTAAGAACATAGGGGAGAACAAATGACATATAATGGGGATTTAACCTTTTGTACCCATTCAAAACTTGCTATTTTTAGTCAATTTTGACCTTGACCTTGACCTAAATGCAACACCCTGAGTTCTGGCGATCTCGAAAGTATTACCACATGAATTGGCATCCCCAATTTAGTTGGACATGACACCTTAAACATTTTTTGGACTATTTGGTTTAAAAGTTACCGCGTTTGTACATTAGCCCATGCGGACTGGCGGCCATTTTGGATTTGACCTCTCAGGGTCATCAGAGGTCAAATCAAACTGTAAAATAAACTACCTGAAAAGAATTAAGGTGGTGGACTATGCAGGTGAACCATTCCTAAATAAATTTGAGAACAAATGACAAATAAATGAGATTTAACCTTTTGTAACTATTCAAAACTTGCTATTTTTAGTCAATTTTGACCTTGAGCTTGACCTAAATGCAAAACCCTGAGTTCAGGTGATCTCAAAAGTATTACCAAATGAATTGGCATCCCCAAGTTAGTTGGAAATGAAACGTTTGTCTGGTGTATTTGGTTCAAAAGTTAAGCGTGCTTGTACATTAGACCATGCGGACTAGCGGCCATTTTGGATTTGACCTCTCAGGGTCATCAGAGGTCAAATCTGACTTCCCTCCACATCTGAAAATAAATCTTATGGTGAAAGCAAACTATGCTGGAAGTTTCATGCTTTTCTCAAAAAGTGCACAATTTTCTTGCTAAGCCGCTGCACTACTACGTCATTCAATGATTAATGACATGCAGGGCAACAAAGACAAACTGGAATATACAGTATGAGAATTATTAACAGAAGTGTTCAAGCTTTAGAAAAGAATAGTATTCAAGAACCTATCAAATATCAATAACAATAATGTTGATGATGATGATGATGAGGGTGATGTTACTACTCATGCTGCTACTACTACTACTACTACTACTATTACTACTTCTACCATTACTACTACTACTAATACTACTACTACTACTACTACTACTACACGTATCAATGTATCAATGATTATAATTTTGTTCTATTCTATGCATTCTTCTTAACAGACTTTTATCCGGGAATGGTATATCTGCCATTGGGCAACGTGTGTTCGAAAACATTTATTACTACATTTATTACTACTTCTACCATTACTACTACTACTAATACTACTAATACTACTACTACTACTACTACTACTACTACACGTATCAATGTATCAATGATTATAATTTTGTTCTATTCTATGCATTCTTCTTAACAGACTTTTATCCGGGAATGGTATATCTGCCATTGGGCAACGTGTGTTCGAAAACATGACATCTTTACGAACTTTGTGAGTATATACTAGCCGAGGCCTTGTATTCTGCTTTTTAAGTGTCATCCATTTTAATTCCAATAACCCCCCCCCCCCCAAAAAAAAAAAATATATATATATATATATCTTGAATTGTAAAAAGCGCGCACTGCTTAAACAAATATATATTCAAACAATAAATTGTTTATCTAAATGTTAACAAATATTGATTTGCTTGACATACAGTGCGTCCCAGAAAAAACGAAACCGAGAATTATCGACATTTTATCATAACTTAATCAAAATTATAATTAATAAATGACACATATTTGTAAAACTTAGATCCTCATCTTTCATGTGATGCAACTCATATGATGCATTTTTCACGCATGAGTGATTAAAAACAATTTGAAGAGAGGGTTCCAAAAAGTCATTTGGCGGGTGGTATCGGAATTTCAAAGAGATAAACACATTTCTAAAAAGTTCATTTCCTGCTCTTTAATATGACACTTTAATCAGGAAGAATGAGCGAGGAATAACAAAGGTCTGTTTGTTTAAAGTAATGCTTGCATTTCCATAATTTGATTAAACGAAGTCGTTTTTACTGACTGCTTGCCGTAGCAACAAACAGAGTTGACAAAAGACTTAACTCCGTTTTGTTGACGATCAACCATGCACAAAGAAGACAAAAGACTTGATGCATGGCTGATCGTCAACGATCATTCTGAATCGATAGTAATTTCCATTAAACACTTTCTCATTCCCCCGAACCATCCATAATTGCGTCTAAATTTCAATTACGGAATGACGTTACTGAAGCCTCTGGAATAAAGCCTGATATATTGTAATTTGTATATTGTAGTATTTAGGAACTCAGAGACATAAAACTAGATACAATGAATTTAGAAGTTGAGATGATTTAATCTATTCCAAGATGTCCGATCATATTGTGTTCATGTGTACATAAAGGGGATTGAGCCCTCGACGTTGACTGTTAGCACAGTCTTACAAACACAACATATTTCCCTCCTTTAAAGAGATGAATAATGTTATTCAACTAAGTCCAGATATGAGTTCAAAAGTTTATGAGTCCAGAAAATAAAACTTGTTTATTAACAACAAGCCTGAAATTTTATTAACCTATATTGAGCAATTGTTTCATATGAGTCCAAAACTTAAACGTTCCAGTTTTTTAATTTCTATGCTCAATACTTGTCGGCTCTAAGGATTTAAGATCTGTAATCTCGTAGATATCCAGGTCGTCTCCTTAGACGCTGAGAACGACGAACAGTTCGCGGTTCTGATCGCTGTTGCTCTTGATCTTCAGTGCTTGTAGGGAATGGAAAGGTGTCTTCCCAATCGCTTTCATTCATGTTGCCTGGCTTGCTCGCGATAAGGCGTCTGGTGTTCCATCGCGTTCCGTCATCTAGTACAAATGCATTCGAGCCGAGCTTCTTCACGATCTGTTTGGGTTTCGATAACCCCGAAGCTAGCTTGTGCTTGCGATTTTGACGCTTTACACGAACCCAGTCACCGATAGCGAATTTCGGTGTGATTGCTCGTCTGCGTTTTTCAGTGTACGCTTTCATGCTTTGCTGTTTCCTCTCAATCTCTCTCGCTTCAGCCTGTGTGCTTGCAGGCTCTGAAACCAGTGGTTTCAGGATGCTGAATGGCATACGGAGGTTCCGTCCCAACATCAACTCTGCTGGAGTCTTTCCGGTTAGCGAATGAGGTGTTGAGCGATACGTGCGTAGTAGGGTCTGGATGGCCTTATCGAAGGTCATTCCATCTGCGAGATTCGCTTTCAAGCTCTCCTTGATTACCCGGTTGAAACGCTCTACGCCGCCATTGCTTTGAGGGTTGTAGCGAGTTGTGAGGCGATGTTGAATTCCATTAACGGCTAGGAATTCTTCGAACTGTTCAGACGTGAACTGTGGTCCATTGTCCGTGGCGATAGATTCTGGAAGACCCCACTTGGTAAACATCTTCTCCAAGATGCTAATGACTGATGTCGTAGTGACTGAGCTTGTTGCTGCTATCTCAGGCCACTTGCTATGGAGGTCGTGTACAACTAACAAAAATCGCTGACTTTGAGGAGCGGCTTGGACTTCCCCAAAGATGTCGACTTAAAGTTGCTGCCATGGCTTCTTCGGCCATGGGGTCGGCTGCAGTGGTGCTGGCCGCGGTTGAGTTTTCTCGCTGAGAGTACACGCTTCACAAGATCTGACGAGATCTTCTACGCGTCGATCGATCGCTGGCCACCAGATTGCTTCGCGACATCGTTGCTTCATCTTCACCACACCTGGATGACTTTCATGTGCGGTTTGTAACACACGATGTTGAAGCGATTTCGGGATTACCGCTCGGGTGCCACGGGCGATACACGTGTCGTCGAAGATAGCTAGCTCATTGCGAACACGATGATATGGAACGAGGTCTTCGGAAATCTCTCTAGGCCATGCTGTTTGGAGATAATGACAGACCTTCTGTAGAGTTGCATCTGCGGCTGACTCTGTTTTCAGCTGCTCACGCATCACAAGCTTTGCGGTCACGTGAGAGATCACCATAAGAACGTAGTCTTCGACGTCGTCTTCGATGTCGCTTCTTGCATGGCTATCGCGATTGCTATTCGCGTTCGGTGTACGGCTAAGCATATCTGCTACTCGGTTGCGTGAACCCGCGAGATATTCGACCTTGAAATCATATTGGTGCAGTCGATCTGACCATCTGTAGATGCGGAGTGGGCGGTGTCCAGATCCTGAAGTGCTCAACAAGGTTGTTAAGGCTTGATGGTCAGTACGAAGTGTGAACTTGCGACCGTAGAGGTACATATGCCAGTGTTCGCAGGCATAGATGCATGCGAGAGCTTTGCGTTCTCCTGTAGAATACTTTCGCTCTGTGTCCGACAACGCTCGAGATGCGAATGCGACCGGACGTACACTGCCGTCGATCGTTTGCAATAACACTGCTCCGATAGCGAACGCTGACGCGTCTGTAGTCACGTACGTTTCAGCGCTTGGAGTGAAGTGAGCGAGAACTGGCGGCTCTGCGATTCTTCCTTTGAGCGTGTTGAATGCGGTCTCTTGTGCGTTGTGCCATTCCCAAAGCGCGTCCTTCCGGAGAAGCTTCTGCAGAGGTTCTGCGATTTCTGCGTATTGTGGCACGAATTTGCGGTAGAAGTTCGTTGTTCCCAAGAATGAGGCTAGCTCCTTCACATTCGTTGGGGCTGGGAGTGTTCGGATAGCTGCAACGTTGTCGAGCGTAGGCGTCAGACCATCTGCAGTGACATGATATCCCAGAAAATCAATGTCCGAAGCAGCGAACGTGCACTTGGCCTCGTTGAGCGTCAAGTTATGCTTGGCGAGGCGCGTCATGACTTCTGCTAATCGTTGATCGTGCTGAGCCTTGTCCTCTCCGAAGACTACCACATCATCAAGGAGATTCAACGTGCCCTCGATTCCAGCTAGAACTGAAGAAACGATTTTCTGGAATGCGCTAGGTGCTGAGTTCAGTCCATAGGGCATACGGCGATACTGAAACATGCCTATGTGTGTGTTGAATGCAGTGAGATGGCGGCTCTGCACTGCTAGCAGAACCTGGAGATAGCTACGTCTCATGTCTAGTTTAGAGAAAACTTTAGCTCCGTGGAATGAAGCTGAAAGTTCATTCATAGTAGGAAGTGGATACTTATCCGGAATGATTGCCTTGTTGACTGCCCTCAAATCTACACAAAGTCTAAGATCTCCATTCTTACGGCGTGCGATGACCAGATTAGACACCCACGGGGATGAATCGATGCGCTCGATGATGCCATCGGATTCAAGCCTACGAAGTTCCTTTGAGACTTCATCCCTGACAGCTAACGGAAGTCGACGGAGACTCTGTGCAGAAGGTGGGACTGAGGAATCCACCCTTGGTGCATGGCAATATCCTTTGCATTTACCAAACTCGTTGAAAAGTGCAGCATAGCGTTCTCTATACGCATTGTCTATGAGCCGAATGCGTTCACCAGTGTGGTCGTTCATCTGAAATCCTAGGGCGTCGAACAGATTGACTCCCATAAGGCTCTCGCCCTTCGCTATGTAGAACGTAAAGCTGTCGAGATGTACATCCTTGTACCCGACAGGAAGCTCAACCGTGCCCAGAACGGAAATCAGTGTAGGTGGTTCACCATATGCTATGAGCTTGCTCGATGTCGATGACAGGCTACAATGTGAGAAATGTCGATGATACAGTTTATCACTAAGAATTGACACTTTGGCCCCCACATCAATCATCAAAGAGAGGTTAGTACCAGCAATCTGCACTTCACATTCTTTGAACTGACCTGAATTTGCTGAAGAAATCCGGTCTGAGAGTGTGAACACGCTGCTTGCTATGTCGCCCTCTATTGGTTCATCAACGTGTCGAACTGAAGATGCACTTTTCTTGGTAGATCTGCATACGCTAGAGAAATGGTTCATCTTCGAGCACGAATTGCAACGTTTTCCAAACGCTGGACACGCTTTCGGAGGGTGTGTCCGTCCGCAGTTCGAACACGACTTCGAGTTAGCATGGTTATACAGCGGGCTTTGTTATGATATGGTCGTTTGATGTTCTGTACTGGAGTTGCCTGAAGTGCAGTATGACTATGTCCTGTACTCAGCGCTCAAAATACACGGGGGCGGTGGGCGATTCGCCCCCGTGAGCTACATAATCTCCCCCGTCAGGTAGCTCACGGGGGCGATTGCAAAATTAAAAATCGCCCCCGTGGAATTATAAAATAAAGATTATCTTTTCTGTTATAAATTTAACACAATATTGAGTTTCAATTTTTAAACCTTAAACCAATGAAATAGAACTTAGATTAGCGTGCAAGATTTACCGTTCTATGAGTAGGCCTATTATTACTGATTCAGCTCGCAGTGCAGTGCCACCATCAGCAGTGGTTATAGGCCTACTGCGCCGTTAGTAACGGCACGTGTGCACGCTGCCGCGCCATGTCTGCTGGAGCTGGAGGCAATCGCGCAAGGGCAGAAACCCCGGCCCCCCCCCACTCA